CAGTAGATTCATAATTTCTAAACTGTGCGATTGCGAAGAGAGAAACGCTGTTAACGACAAGTGAAAAACAATTTTTTTTAAAAAAAATTAGAATGACGTCGTTTTCACCGTTGTGGAATCGTGCCCACCACCTTGCAAGGTGGGCACGATTCCACAACATAATTTGCCATATGAATATTGTTGGATGTAACAAAAAATAAATTATATCAAAAATTTATAAAAAAATATTCATAACAAAATATGAAACATAATTATTTTGATAAAATGATTCAAATAGAAAACATCATTTGTTTTAAATTTTTACCCTCACTGGAGAAAATTTCTAACTTCGCTTCCCAAAATAATTCAACATCAAACATTGTATATAAAAAGGTTTTTCAAAATTTGTAGGAGTCAAATATATACTATTTAATCACATACATTTTTATACTATTTTACAAATATTTCTCATCTTTCTAATTTCTCCATTAACTTCACCGGCCGTAACATGATATATATAAAATAATAAGTTGAAAGTTAAAAGTATCTGTTAATCAATCGTTGTATCGTTCACCATATTGTGCGCCCTGATCAAAACGATGGTGTTTTTTATGTTCAGATTTTATATGTATAATGTTAAATATGTTAATAGTTTATGTGTATTCTGTTAAGAGTTTATGTGTATTCTATTAAGAGTTTATGTGTATTTTATTAAGAGTTTATGTATATTTTGTTATGAGTTTATGTGTATTATGTATTATGTTAGATTATGTGTATTCTGTTATAAGTTTATGTACAATCAAAATATGAGATTTTTTTTTTTTTTTTGAAGTTAACGGTAGAAACGGGAAACGAAATTTCTAAAAAAAGAAAAAAAGAAAAAAAAAAAAAGAGACCAAAACGACGTCATTTTAGCCAGGGCGCACAATGTGCGCGATATAATTTGCATCTTTTAATTTGGTATACGAGGATTTAAAAAAAAAAACTTTTTTCTTATAACTATTGGACTATATTTCCACATTTAGTCTTTGAGTATTACTTTTTCACATTTTATCTCACAATTTTTAAAACATTATCACATTTGATCATTCGACTTAATTTTTTGTCATTGGTAATCAAATTTATATTTTTTTTGTTTTTGAACATGAGTACATAATAGTCAAGAGTCCAATTTTTTTACCTGAACGATGTTGATTGGCAATTCGCAAATTATGTTGTGCAACCGAAATGCACCATGCGCATGATGCATTCGATGCAAAACGACGTCGTTTTGGTTAAAAAACGCGCATCCCACTTAAAGAAGAAATCAGGTTCGATTCCCGGCAATAACATTTTTATATATCCATAAATTCATAACTATATATCCACAGTGAATGAATGAAGTAAAAATCCACAATGAATGAACTAAATATCCACAATGAATGAACTAAATATCCACAATGATTGGACTAAATATCTAGGCCTGAGCATCGGGCGGGTTCGGACTGTTCGGATATACGAACCGTCAACCCGTTCGGATTTCGGTTTATATTCAGCTTACCCAATCCGTAAAATTTTTTAAACTAAACCGGCGGATATATACATTTTCGGATTCGGATTTATTATATCGGATTTCGGTGTTGTTCGGATTTATTTAAACAAAAAATACTCAAAAGTAAATAAACTTAAAATTTTCAACGTATACAACACAGTATTCTGTTTTCACACTATATACAAATATACCATGTATACAACACATGAACACAGTATATCAAAAATTCAAAATAAGATGAATAAATAATAAAAAAAATAAAAATAAACTAGGATTTGCGATTACTTCGTTTTTTTTCCAAAAATTTCTCAGAAAACAAGGGTTCCTACGAGACTACAACCATTTGAGACTCTGACGTTGGGCTTCCGGCTTCAACCTGTCACCACCGATCTATCGAACCACCAAGAATGAGCCATCGGAGTAGAGATTCGAGAACTGAGAGTGTCAGAGAGTGAGATTGTGACTCTGTGAGAGGATTGAAAACTGAGAAGGAGAGAAGATACAAGAATTATTGGTGGGTAGAGAAATTGAGAGAAGTAAAGGATTGTGAACTGAGATTTGAGAAGGAAAGAAGATACAAAAATTGTGAGAATGGTGAGTAGAGAAACTAAGAGAGAGAGAGAGAGAAGATACAAGAACAAAGAAGAAAGCAGCTGCGCAGGGGAGAATGGAGGAATGACCGGTCTAGGGTATCATCTTATTAACATATATATATAATCAAAACGACGTCGTTTAGATGTATTTTAATCTAACCCTAATTTTTTTCGGATGTTCGGACGGATCGGGTAGCATATTATACTACCCTATCCGAATTAATCAACCCGGCATGTTATTCGGTTTGGGTCGGATATCCATACTTCGGATACGGTTATCCATACAAAGTGTGGTTTCGGTTTTCGGGTCGGATGGAAAATTCGGGGCGGTCGGATATTGCACAGCCCTATAAATATCCACAATGAATGAACTAAATATCCATAAATTCATAACTATATATCCACAGTGAATGAATGAAGTAAATATCCACAATGAATGAAGTAAATATCCATAAATTCATAACTATATATCCAGAAATTCATAACTATATATCCACAATAATGATATTGCCGAAAATCAAACCTGAATTTTTTTTTAAAGTAGGACGCGCGTTTTTAATCAAAACGACGTCAATTTGCATTGTATACACCATGTGCATGGTGCATTCGGTTGCACATCATAACTATTGTTGGCAATTAGGGAGGGCCCGAGGGGTTGATTCCCTCATTATAATTAATAGAAGATTGAAATCCATTAAATGAAAGACCAATTCCTCAAAATTGGTAAATTTTTGCCATCATATATTATATTATTGAACAAGTGTCCAATTATTTACCTGAACGATGTTGATTGGCAATTAGGGAGGGCCCGACGGGTTGATTCCCTCATTATAAATTATAATTAATAGAAGATTGAAATCCATTAAATGAAAGACCAATTCCTCAAAATTGGTAAATTTTTGCCAAACTTGAGAATTTGCATACAAATAAATAAGGGAAAATGGCACTTTTTACCCCTGAGTTATATACTTATAGCACTTTTTCCCCCTCAATTATTTAGGTAAGCACATTAGCCCCCTCAATTATTCTAAAAGTGGTGCTTTTTCCCCCTGATATATTAAATTCACATTTATACCCTTAAAGTAAACATTTTATTTATTTTACTACTCCAACAAATTATTGCGTATACGTAGGGATGACCACGGTTCGATTTGAATTGAATCGGATACTAAAGCAATCGAATTAATAGTTTACGGTTATAATTCAGATCTAGAACCCAATATTTAAATGTCAATTTATTAAAATTATGTATCAAAAAATTGAATCTTGAACCGTGAACCGGCGGTTCCGGATCTGATTCGCGGTTTTGAATCGTCTTTATTTTAAAATTTTATTTTTTATTTTAAAATAGTCTAAATTCAACAATAAATGTATTTTATTTTTTTTTTCGGAACATGAACCGTCCGTTCCTGTTCACGATTTTAATAAACTCTAAATATCGAATTTCGATTCTAAATTGTAATTGGAATATTTCGGTTTGGTTGCTATAGTGTTTGTTTAGTTTGAACCAAATTATGGTCATAATTTGTTGGAGAAAAAAATAAATTAAATATTTAGTTTAAGGGTAAATATGTCCATTTAATATTTCAGGGGGAAAAACAGCCACTTCAATAACTTAGGGGGGTAAAATGCTATAGGTATATAATTCAGGGGGAAAAAGTGCCATTTTCCCAATAAATAATAATAATAATAATAATAAATTAAATTAAATAAATATGTAACAATCCAGTCAGCAAAAATTGGAAGTCAACCTGTTAAAAATGTTAATTACTCTTTCTTTCCATATTCAGTGACTTATTTGGAGGTTATTTGAGTTCGATGGTTTAATTACTATTTCCTAAACAGTTCGGTGACATCTCTGAAGCCACAAAAAAAAAAAAAAAAAAAAAAAAAAAAAAAAAAAAAAACAAAGGCAGCTGAACCAAAGTGCCCACCCCTAGGTATTGGACCCACTTTGATTAACGTTATTTCCGTTTTTAGATGTCCAATTAATCTTTTTGGCACCAGATGTCCGATTAATCTTATTTTGTCTTCTTAGGTATTTCCCATATTTGCTTGAAATTATTTCGAGGTCCCATTTAATATTTTGTCTCTTCTTTTTTTTGTTTGAAACAATATTTTGTCTTTGTCTCTTAATTTATGGCTATCCAGTCTATAAAACGTAACATTCAGTACTCCATGAATAACAGTGAAGAAGAAGAAGAAGAAGAGGAAAAGAAGTTTTTGGGGAGGTTTTGGGTTGAATCAAAGAAGCTATGGCAGATTGTGGGGCCGGCTATCTTGGGCCGTATTGCTTCGTACTCCATGTTCGTGATCACCCAAGCATTCGCCGGCCACCTGGGAGACCTCGAACTGGCGGCCATGTCTATCGCCTGCAACGTGATTCTGGGGTTCGACTTCAATTCGGGCTGATGCTGGGCATGGCTAGCGCGCTGGAGACGCTGTGTGGGCAAGCGTTCGGGGCGAAAAGGTATGACATGTTGGGGATATATCTGCAGCGGTCGTGGGTGGTTCTGTTTCTGTGCTTTTTCTTCGCGTTCTTAAGCAATCATCGAGTTCTTCAGAGATTCCTGCAGAGCCAGCTTAAGAACTCGATGATTGTCTTAAAGTGTATGTATATGTTGCTCATTCTCGTTATAAATGTTGTCAGGAATGGACAATATATACACAAATTCAAACAATTCAAAGGACAACATTATACCACATAAAATTAAGATGTGATATATATAATTGGCCTAAAAGTGATAGACATAAATTACAATTTTTCTTTAAAAAATCATATTCATTGATCGTTGGAAGCTTTGATGAAATTAGAAAAATGAGATAAAAATGCAGCACTGTTGTCGATATATATGGTGACTGGTAAGGCGTCACTTTCTAATAAGTCTTAACAATAATATACGTGTGATAAGCATTTTCATTCCTCTTTCCTTTTGTCATTTCTCGCTGTACTTCAACAGGCTGAGTCATCTTAAGCGTTCTTAAGCAATCATCGAGTTCTTCAGAGATTCCTGCAGATCAGAGCCAGCTTAAGCGCCTTCAGCACCGGCGTCGCGAAGAAAAACAACGGCAGCATCACCACACTGCACTGCACAGAAACAGAACCACCCACGACCGCTGCAGATATATCCCCAACATGTCATACCTTTTTGCCCCGAACGCTTGCCCACACAGCGTCTCCAGCGCGCTAGCCATGCCCAGCATCAGCCCCAAGTCGAACCCCAGAATCACGTTGCAGGCGATAGACATGGCCGCCAGTTCGAGGTCTCCCAGGTGACCGGCGAATGCTTCGGTGATCACGAACATGGAGTACGAAGCAATACGGCCCAAGATAGCCGGCCCCACGATCTGCCATAGCTTCTTTGATTCAACCCAAAACCTCCCCTAAAACTTCTTTTCCTCTTCTTCTTCTTCTTCTTCACTGTTATTTTGGACGACCTGGGCCGATGAATAGTCTAATAACGGCACCTTATTTTCGTCCATGCTGCCATTGCCAGACATTTTCTTAGCTCTTGATCGAACCGGCAGGAGCAAATAATAAGGTTGGGAAATTGTTTGGAGGATAAAAAATAATTAGGAGGGTAGAATTGTAATCTTCTTAATGTTTGTTGCTTTTCAGTTATTAGTCTTATAACCGTGGTGTAAAGCTCTGCAACACATCATCCTTTCACATAATAATACTTTGCATTTTTTCTTTTTCTCTCTTCTCTCCAAAAGCTTCGTTCATGTAGCTCCTATTGCAACAGAAATGTATGGTGAATAATTAAGAGACAAAGACAAAATATTGTTTCAAAAAAAAAAAAAAAAAGAAAGAGACAAAATATTAAATGGTACCTCGAAATAATTTCAAGCACATATGGGAAATACCAACAAATTTTATTCCTAAATATGATTAATCGGACATCTAAAAACGGAACTAACTTAAATCAAAGTGGTCCAATACCAACATTAATTACCCTCTTAAAAACATTACAATAATTATGTTGTGCAATGGTGCATACGAAATTAGATTCATAATTTCTATATTATAGATTCATAATTATTGAACTTTGTATTCACAATTACAAAACTCTATGAGTTCATAATTTTTAATGTTCATATTTTCAATTGTTGAACTTTGTATTCACAAATCACTGAACTATATGTTTATAATTTGATAACTATATAGTTTAGAAATTATTAATCTATAATATAAAATTATGAATCTATAGTATAGAAACTATGGATCTACAGTTTAATTAGAAATTATGGATCTATAGTATAAAAATTATGGATCCAATTTCATGTACACCTTGCATGGTGCACACGGTTGCACAGCATAACACTATGTGGCATATTGTAGTAAACTAATAATAACTCCCTTTCAGAGGGTTGTTTTTATGGTTTACTTAGTGCTGGTTTAGAAATTCAAAAAATGACAATTGAAAATTATTTTTAAATTTTTTAGTATTTCGTTATTAATGAAAAATAAGCCAACGAAAAATATTCATTTCGATCAAATAAAAAACAGTTCATTTTCTAAAAATTATGTTTAAAAACATGTTTTGTATTTTCAAGTGAGCCCTTAGTGCAATTTACCTCTCATATGTAATTTGTGAACTATTACAAAAGTAAGATTTATTTAAGGGAAAATGACACTTTTTTCCCCCTTTGTATACTTATAGCACTTTTTTCTCCTAAATTATTTAAGTGGCAGTTTTTCCCCCTGATATATTAAATGGACATATTTACCCTTAAAATAAATATTTCATTTATTTTTCTTCTCCAACAAATTATAACCACGATTTGAAAAAATAAAATACATTAAGTGTTAAATTCAGAATATTTTAAAAATAAAAAAATAAAATTTTAAAAGAAAGTTTGAACCAACCGTTCAAATTGGATCCAAAATCGTGAACCGACGGTTCAAAATAAAACTCAAATCGCGATTATATATACTTATATGTGAGAGTCAATATAAATGCGGGAAAAAACATACACTATTTGCAAATATTATAATTCTAATTTAAGCTATTGCTAGTAGTTGTTCCGATTTGAACCTCCGGTTCACGATTCAGGATCCATGTTTTTCCAGTTCACGATTTTAATAAACGGAAACCCAAATATTGGGTTATGTTATGAATCATAATCGAAATTTTTTAATTTGATTGCTATAGTGTTTGGTTCAGTTCGAACCGAACCGTGGTCATCCCTACGTATAAGTAATAATTTGGTGAAGAAGAGAAAAAAATAAAATATTTGTTTTAAGGGTAGAAATGTCCATTTAATATTATCAGGGGGAAAAACCACCACTTTTATAATAATTGAGGGGACAAATGTGAATGCATGAATAACTCAGGGGGAAAAAGTACTATAAGCATATAACACAGCGGGAAAAAGTGCCATTTTCCCTTTATTTAATGTACACTCTTTGTAGACTATTACCTCTCTTGCATACAAGAGTAAGATTTATTTACTGCAATTTACCTCTCATATGAACTATTTAAAAATACAAAACATGATGATATGGATCTGAGTAATTGTTTTTCCATGAAATTTCAATTCCACTTTCCTTAAAATATTTTCCGCGAACCAAACGAGTTAGCTCTTTGGATATAAGGAAGCTGTGCTTCCAGTTCTTAGTTGTACTTTTCAGACCTTAGAACTCATCTTCAATTCATCTCAGTTTTCTCTTCTATTGAGCTGTCTAATTTTACACAAGCAATGCATTGAGTTTTCATCAACAACCTAACCTAAATTTATCTTTAATTTCCTGTTTGGATTACTATGTTTGATAATCCGGCCTATTATATTAAACAAGCGTTGTCCGAAGAGAGTTTGGATTACTCTTTCATCACCAATTTGATAATATGCCTTGTCCCAGGTGTTTAAGAATCTTCCTACTTACCTATCTTAATCTGTCTAAACTGTATATATGTATGTATACTATTCTTCATATTCTCGTGTTTGAGGATTACAGTTTACCAACTTATACTATTCTGTGCTCATTATTGATGGATGCATTTAACTGGACTTTTAATTAGCACTACAAAATAAGTATTCAGAAAAAATCATGCATTTGGCCTTTAGCTTCAATGATTTCTATTTTTAAAATGTAGAATCTCCGATCCCTTTCGATTTTTGTATATTTGGACCCTTAATTATTTTTATGGTTCTTTGACTACTAAGTCCTTTTTAATTAATAACAAACATATATTACATTGTTAACAACTTAGGGTTTCAATGGTCAAATATGTAAATCTATAGATCTATCATATGAAACTTTACTTAGCAGTACTTGTAAGTTCATTAGGGTCCTCTTATTCAAAATCCCAATTATCACATCCCTTCTCTCCCACTTCACACCTCGGAACGCATCGTTCTTATAGAGATAAACACGCTTTCACAGCCGAAATGACCGGGGAGAGGAAAGGTTCCTTTTTTAAGAATACTCACGAGAACAGATCCAGTGGAGACGGGGGCCAGCACAGTGGAAGAGAGTACTTCATCCGGAATAGGACCGACAAGAACAACAGAGTCGGTATCGGTGTAATAACAATCTTCTCTGAAAATGTAAGGATACATATGGATCCGATCAACCCAATCAGTTCCCAAAAATCACCGATAGTTCCAAGTATTGGTCCTAAGCTCGCACTTAGTGACTTTTGGCAGCTCTACTCAATCTGAGTTGTTATACCATGGACTAGGGTCCACCTTGCAAGGTAGACCATGGTCCTAACTCACGTATAAATTGTGTATTTTTAGTATTGGAATTGTGAACTTCTAGAATATAAATTGTGTTTCTAAGTAAAAACACATAACAACTGTAGAAGGGAATTTGTGAATACAATACATGGTCATCAAATCCTAATATGTTAATATTGTGTGATTGCAATATTTGAAAGGAACTTGCGAATACAAAACAATGTAATAAATTACATATATGTTAACATTGTGCGTTCTTAGTATACCAATTGTGAATTTTTAAAAGGTAAATTGTGAAACATTTAGTATGTAAATTATAAACATTTGGACTCGGGTCCATACAATAATTTGTGACTCATTCTACCCTCAATCATTATTGTGTGAACCATGGTCCACACAGTTGTGTGTACCATATTATCAAATACTGAACATTTAATACACAAACAATGTATTATAAGTTATGGTCCACACAATAATTTGTCATCTACCCTTAGACTGCTTGTTCAACTATCATCACCATCTTCCATTTCATCATTCTTATCCTCCGGTGCACTTGGCTTTGCCTACTCATACAACTAGTGTCCGTTTTGTCAAAATTCACCCTATAAACATGAATTTTAGTAAGTTGCTTCCAGATGCTCAGTCGGGCCGGAGCGTGGGAGCCCTTAGGATTGGAGTTCAACCTTTTGGTAGAATGAATTTTAATAAGTAATACTAATACAATGAAACTTTGAATTTGTTTACTTTAAACGAATTTATTACTAATTTTCTCCAGTTAAATAACATTTATAATTCTCAAACGTCATGTAACTATTATTGCTTCCACTCTTGTATTAATAAACAAGATATGGTGGTTTACATTTGGCTTATTGTAAATAACATCAAAAAGCAATAGATCTATGTGAATTAAAGTATGACCTGTAACAAATGTGGGTTGAAATTAAACATCATAATTTCTAAACTCTATAGTTATCAAATTATGAACATATAGTTATGTGATTTGTGAATACAAAATTCAACAATTGGAAATATAATCATCAAAAATTATGAACATATAGCTCTATAATTATGAACATATATTTATAAAATTATGAACATATAATTCTATCACATGTTTACAAACCTAATACTGTAGATTCATAATTTAAATACAATAGATTCATAATTTCTAAACTGTGCGATTGCGAAGAGAGAAACGCCGTTAACGGCAAGTGAAAAATAATTTTTTTAAAAAAATTAGAACGGCATTTTCACCATTGTGGAACTGTGTCCACCTTGCAAGGTGGGTACAGTTCCACAGCATAATTTGCCACAAAATATTGTTAAATATGAACGAAAAATAAATTATATCAAAATTTTATAAAAAATATTGATAACAAAATATGAAACATAATCATTGTGATAAAATGATTCAAATAGAAAACATCATTTGTTTTAAATTTTTGCCCTCATTGAAAAAAATTTCTAACTTCGCTTCCCAAAATAATTCAACATCAAACATTGTATATAAAGTGGTTTTTTAAAATTTGTAGGAGTCAAATATATATTATTTAATCACAAACATTTTTATACTATTTTATGTTGGAAAAATAGCATTAAAATGACCTTTAAGGGGCTATTTTGTGGTACAATTATCGGTGGGGTCCACTTCCAATTTGGGTCGGGTCAAAGTGGATTCGGATTCTTCGTAGTGAGACGAAGAGATTGATATATTGTACGCTCAAAACGGATAATGGGTGAATGAGATATTGATTCTCAAAGTAGACCCATTGAGTTGGAAAAATGTAAGGGAAAAGTGAGCTTTGTCCAACATTGATTTGGAAAGAGGATTTCACCCCCCTTTTATACAAGAGCTTTTTTAGAGCTTGTAGAATTGTGTAGCATAGAGGCTCTCTCTCGCGCGCGCGCGAGGGGGGGGGGGGGCAGGGGTGCAAATCAAATTCCAAATGGAGATGACTTCGGAAAGGCTTGATTCAAGCCTAAGCTCGTGTGCGCCGGCACCTACGGCCACGAATGTCGTCCGGAAATTGGCTGGCCTTGCGGGCTAAGCTATGTCAACTTTCGTTCGGCCTGGGGCCGAAATTTGGTGAGGCTGAAGGCCAACAGTCCATTAACTCCAGTTTTGAATTGTGAATTTAATTCTGTTAATGGGGGTTGCTGTTTCAGATGTTACACAACGTGTAATTAAGGCCATGATAAATGCTATTAAGTACTCCTCCCCTATATAAGAAGGGGTAGAAGGTAGAAGCTTTACACATTACGAACAAGTACAAGAGCTCTACACGAATTTTGTTTTTCAAGCTTCAAAACCTTCTGCTTCTACTACATTTTTAAGCCTAACTGTGTTCAAGGCTGTTGCTCTAGTTCGCCGGGTTCGTTCGTTTGGGTGCTCAAACGTCGAACCGTAGCGCGTTTTATCCTGGGAAACCTAGGCCACGACGCTCCTAGCACTTTTGGGAGGTGGCAAATAAGGTTTTAAGAAAAGAGTGGTCTCTTGACTCACGCAAAAAACCCTACCCAAACACGAGCCAATCTTTCCTTCTTTCGGTTTTGGATTATGCTTCTAAGCAAAATCCGTTCTCCATATTTGTTTTGCCGTTGGATTGGACCTATAATCTGAGGATCATTTGTTCCTTTTTGGTTGATATATATTGATATATCTCTTCGTAGATATACATATATATACATAACCGTTGGATCCGTTTTATATATATATATATATATATATATATATATATATATATATATATATATATATATATTTGTGGGAATATATATATTTCGGATAAATATCAAATAATATTTTATATACTTGTGTGTGTATATATAAATATTATTTTACGATATTAAATCGATTTTGGTTCATTATCACCAACAATCTTAAAACCTTATTTTATTTTGATAATGAACAAATCGATGGATTCCAAGAGTATTGGATCCGTGAATGTTGCCGGAGGTGCACATTCAAATGGTCAGAACGGCAACGATGTTGCACATTCTGTGATGCCAGTTGATGGCAGCAACGTTGGAAATGATATTTCCATGGGAGTTGCAAAGACACACGATGGTGCTCCGGAGAACTTTGGTTCACGATCCGGTAGACTTGTGGCTAATGGCACACAATTGGTACCTATTGTGTTGCCTAGTGGATCGGCTAAAAGCCACGAAGGATCCTATGATGGTGTAATCACTACATGGTCTGAGGACTATGGTAGTGTTACCAATGACTTCAACCGTAATCGAAAGAAACTCAAGCGGAAGCTTAGCTTTCAAGAAGATTACGAGAAGAAGGAGAAATGCCACTATGAAGCGAACCGTCATCCTGGTGAGAAGGTTGAGGACAACTTCGCTATGTTTAAAACATGTGGATGGTTGGACGAGTTCACAACCGAGGTACCCCCGATGTGCGCTATGGACCACCCTTTGTGGAGTGGACGGTTGAGAATGGAACAAGGCACACGGGTTTGAAGGATTACTACGAGATAGGAATAAGGAAATGTGTTTCCAATGTAATTTTTCCTATTTATTTATTTGTTAAATAAATGTTGTAGTATCCTTGTGATACATTTTTTTATTGTTGAATAAAAAATGAATTGTTCCATTGGGCTATTGAATCATAGTACATACGAATTATTTGATGAAATAATGTTGAATGTATGAAATGATTCAATACGGGTGCGTAGTGCATCACGTAGCATTATGTGGAAAATGCTAAAATGACTTAACGGTCGGAACGAAATGTAACAAGCGTGTTACATGTTTGAAATCCCGTAAAAGGACTGCGGTCCTGGTTCATGTAGAACGATAAGGATTTCAATGATCAATTTGTCAAAAATTGGGATAGCTATATAATCGTGAGCGTAACAGCTCAATTGTTGAATATTTTAATTAATATTCTGAGAACGATTATGTAAGCTTGATTCAACTAGTCGGAAAATTTGGTTGATTTGTTCTCGTTAATTGTGTGATAATTAACTTGATCAAAAATTCCAAATTATACTAGTATATTTAATTTGAGACAAATTGTGTTTTGGTGAATAGTGCTTTTGTAGCACTAATGGAAAGTGCAATTTAATTTGGCACTTTGAAGTGCAAATTAGAACACTGCAATAGTGCTATTAAGCACTAGGTAGAGTGCTTAATTAAGCACTTTCGGCCACTTGGTGGCTGCACCTTTATGTGTTGGAAACTTAAGCATTTGGTGCTTTGGTAAAAGCAATAAAGGTGCTAGATTATGATTGGTCTTAATGCTAATCTACTTAGCTTAAACCTTTCGTATGTGGCTAATTAAATTTAGCGTGGTAAAAAGTGCTATGTGACTAGCACGAAAGGAGGTTTGGTTAATTGTGTAATTAACTACTAATCCTTGTGCTAGGTAGCACTGGAATTATAAATTAAGCAACCGAATGTTGCTATGAGTTTATAATTTAAAGCAATAGAGATTGCTTTGGAATCGGTGCGTTAGTTTGACAACAATGATTCGTGCTTTGTGTAGCATGTTTCGTGCTTCAATACTAAGCACTGATTCGTGCTTCAATTTTGGAAGCACTGATTCGGGTTTGTGGCCTTTTGGTCAAAACCGAATGGATTCGTGAGGGCTAATCTGTTAGCACCTACGAGATGTGTTAGCGTGTAACACATGTTTATTCTTTAAAGAATAAAAAGAGAAAAAAAAAACCAAATTAATTGAGGATTAATGCGGTACGAACGATCGATGTAGTGAATATGAAACACCTATTGGTGATTTCTACGAAAGCATTGGTATCGTACTCGAGCGTACGACATGCTATTCACCTCAATCGAACGTTGTTGTCGAACATAAATATCAAGACGTTGATAAGTTCGGGTCTACCTCAAGGTACATGGGGTGAGACGATACTTTGGACAAGTAAGTACCTTTTAAATAAGGTTACCCGCATGAAATTTTTACGAATTGTGGGTACGTAGGAAGTTGTCCTACTAATGCCTGAAATGTGGGGGTGTCTTGCCAAATGTGTATATTGGTTCTTAGTACACGAGTCCAAGAGTTTGGATGTACATAAGAACACGAAAGATTGATTCAAGAAATTCATCGTTCTTGGAAGATGTAATTTTGTGAAGGATCAATAAAAGACCTAGCACGTTGAAAGGAACTTTCGGCGTAGCTATGGTTGAAGGGTATGGAAGAGAACCCGAGCTCAAAGTTAGACGTAGCAAGAGAGCTAGGATTGAAAAATCCTTTGGTCCAGATTTTCTGACATACATATTAGAGTGTGATGCGCACAATCTAACTTGTTTACTAGAAAATAATCCGGATTTTCTGACATGGTTGTTAGAAAATGAGCCTCGAACGTATGTAGAAGTGGTGACTTCTACAGGTGGACCAACCCGAGAGAGGCTACCGAGAGTGAAGTGGATTCTATCTTAAAGAATCATACTTGGAACTGATTGTTCTTCCTCCAGGTTGTAAAACCTCGGGATCCTAAGTGGATCACTAGTCGGAAGATAAAACCGGTTGGTTATATTGAAGTAAAATGGCCGGACTTGTAATTGTAGATTACATGTAATGCGAGTGCCACGGTTACTTCGATATATATATATTCTCTTGCGATGAGAATGTAATCCATTAGAATGATACTTGCCAAAGTCGTTTAGTGAGACTTGGAAGTTTATCGAAATGGATGTATCGCTTTCTTAATAGACATGGAACAACCCGAGGGTTTTGTGGTTCCGCGCTATGGAAAGAAAGTGTGTAATTGGTGAGATCATCGTATTGTTCGAAACAATTGCCTTAGTGTTTGGCATGTGAAGTTCTGATCATGCATTGATGACCAACATGTTTAGTATAAATAAAAGTGACTAGTGGGTCTACGTATTGCATACGATAGACGGTGATATCACTGTTTGTTTATACACGATAAACTCAACGTGGGTAGTAACGATCAAATGATCAATTCTACCATGAACATGTTAAATTTGAGATTTGACATGAGAGGTGTGAGTCTGGCAGATTTAATCTTCGAGATTAAAATCGTGAGAAGACCGTATGGTCTCGTGTTATGCCAATCTCAAACGAGTTGATTGAATCCTTTCAAGGGTGATAATCAAGTAGCTTGGACACCGTTAGATACTAACGTACAACTAGCCAATGATCATGGAGATTGTAATTCTCGTGGAGAATACATTCAGATTATTGGTAGTTTAATTGTATCAAATGGGTTATACTAAGCCAGATATTGCCTTTGCGGTTAACGAACTTGGTAGACATCTGAGCAACCCTAGTGATGCGCACTAGAAGGCAATAGTGAGAGTTATGAGATACTTGAGGTATACTCGTGACTTTGGACTGCACTACGTGTAGATATCTAGCTGTACTTGGAAAGTATAGCACGTTAACAGGATATCAAAGGATGATAAATCCATCAAAGGCTACGTCTTTACGTAGGCAAGTGCAGTCGGTTGGATGGAAATTCTAGAAATGAATTTGTGATAGCTAAGATCCGACGGGATCAAAGCTGAGAGCCTTACACTCGTGTCGCGAACGAGTAGGCCGAATGGCTATGCCATTTTTTCGGGAATGTTCCTAGTGGTAAACTCGTACCTCCAATTTGCGTGCATTGCGATAGTCAAGCCAAAATTGGTTAACTACAGAGTTAGATGTGGAATGGTAAGTCTAGACTTATAAGTCGTAGACATAATACCATTAAACAATTTCTAACAACGAGGGTTATCTCTATTGACTACGTGATGTCAAAAGATAACGTAGCGGCCGCTAACTCGCTAACCCGAGGGTAAGAAAATGGTTGTGGAGAAGTTGGAACGAGGAATGGGTCTAAAGCCCTTGAACTAAAAGTTCTATAGTGGATACCCAACCTAGCTGACACCTAGGTTCAATGGGACAACTAAATTATGGAACGGAGCGTGTCACTGTGGGGGTCTCGGACTCCCTACCACTCCTCGTTAGAAACAGTGACTCCCGCACGAGGCTAGCACGTTGATGCTTTAATGATTCGAATGTCGGTTGACATATGTGAGTATGCGGGATACTCGAGAAAGAATCACCTATGTAAGAGAGAAGTGAGGGTCGCTTCAAAGGAGAATTGTTGGGCACAATTCTTTAGAAACTCTCGCAGAACCAGGAACGTTGACCCACGACCAAAATGGGCACACTCATGAGAACAGAGCATGGTTGGAAGGTTCCTGTGTGAGATATGTCATCGTCTACACAAATGGCAGTCGGTTCAAAGACATCGCGTTCTACCGTACAGCCAGTGGAGTAAATATATCTTCACAAGGGAAGGTTCAAAGGGTATAGTGACTCCCTACCTATCCTATGCAGGGATCGACCGTTTGAACACAGTTGTTTCCGATTTCAAAATACCCCGAAAATCAATTTTTCATTCATGTGGGGGATTGTTGGAAAAATAGCATTAAAATGGCCTTTAAGTGGCTATTTTGTGGTACAATTATCGGTGGGGTCCACTTCCGATTTGGGTCGGGTCAAAGTGGATTCGGATTCTTCGTAGTGAGACGAAGAGATTGATATATTGTACGCTCAAAACGGATAATGGGTGAATGAGATATTGATTCTCAAAGTAGACCCATTGAGTTGGAAAAATGTAAGGGAAAAGTGAGCTTTGTCCCACATTGATTTGGAAAGAGGATTTCACCCCCCCTTTTATACAAGAGCTTTTTTTAGAGCTTGTAGAATTGTGTAGCATAGAGGCTCTCTCCCGCGAGGGGTGGGGGGGGAGGGGGGTGCAAATCAAATTCCAAATAGAGATGACTTCGGAAAGGCTTTATTCAAGCCCGAGCTCGTGTGCGCCGCCACCTACGGGCACGAATGTCGTCCGGAAATTGGCTGGCCTTGCGGGCTAAGTTATGCCAACTTTCGGTATCATATTTTCTAACACAATAGCCACTTGGGTTCGGCCAAGACCAAGATCGAGGCCGAACTGAACCATGGTTTCGGCCTTGGGAGGCCGAAACCTGATAGTTTCGGTCTTGGGTTCGGCCAAGACCGAGATCGAGGCCGAACTGAACCATGGTTTCGGCCTTGGGAAGCCGAAACCTGATAGTTTCGATCTTGGGTTCGGCCAAGACCGAGATCGAGGCCGAACTGAACCATGGTTTCGGCCTTGGGCCGAAACTTGGCGAAGCTGAAACTTTCGGCCTGGGGCCGAAATTTGGTGAGGCTGAAGGCCAACAGTCCATTAACTCCAGTTTTGAATTGTGAATTTAATTCTGTTAATGGGGGTTGCTGTTTCAGATGTTACACAACGTGTAATTAAGGCCATGATAAATGCTATTAAGTACTCCTCCCCTATATAAGAAGGGGTAGAAAGTAGAAGCTTTACACATTACGAACAAGTACAAGAGCTCTACACGAATTTTGTTTTTCAAGCTTCAAAACCTTCTGCTTCTACTCCCTTCTTAAGCCTAACTGTGTTCAAGGTTGTTGCTCTAGTTCGCCAGGTTCGTTCGTTTGGGTGCTCAAACGTCGAACCGTAGCGCGTTTTATCCTGGGAAACCTAGGCCACGGCGCTCCTAGCACTTTTTGGACGTGGCAAATAAGGTTTTAAGTAAAGAGTGGTCTCTTGACTCACGCAAAAAACCCTACCCAAACACGAGCCAATCTTTCCTTCTTTCGGTTTTAGATTATGCTTCTAAGCAAAATCCGTTCTCCATATTTGTTTTGCCGTTGGATTGGACCTATAATCTGAGGATTATTTGTTCCTTTTTGGTTGATATATATTGGTATATCTCTTCGTAGATATACATATATATACATAACCGTTGGATCCGTTTTATATATATATATATATATATATATATATATATATATATATATATATATATATATATATATATATATATATATTTCGGATAAATATCAAATAATATTTTATATACTTGTTTGTGTATATATAAATATTATTTTACGATATTAAATCGATTTTGGTTCATTATCACCAACATTTTACAAATATTTCTCATCTTTCTAATTTCTCCATTAACTTCATTGTAACATGATATATATAAAATAATAAGTTGGAAGTTAAAAGTATCTTTTAATCAATCGTTATATCGTACACCAGATTTTGCGTCCTGATCAAAACGATGTCGTTTTTTTATTTAAATTTTATGTGTATTATGTTAATAATATATGTATATTCTATTAAGAGTTTATGTGTATTCTATTAAGAGTTTATATGTATTTTGTTATGAGTTTATGTATATTATGTTAAGAGTTTATGTGTATTATGTTATGAGTTTATATACATTCGAAACAGAGTTTTTTTTTTTTTTTTTTTTAAGTTAACAGTAAAAACGAGAAACGAAATTTCTATATATATAAAAAAAAAAAAAAAAAAAAAAAAAAAAAAAAAAAGGAATAAGGTTCAAAATGGCCACTGAACGTAACTTGAAAATGCAATTAGGCCACTAAACGAAAAAAAAAAAGTGCAATTAGGCCACTGAACAGTCCAAATGTATGCAATTTCACCTGATAGCAGGTTACCATCAATTTTAGCAGGTTAACTGCTTACGTGGCAGCTGAGTTGGCATTTTTAATCATTTTTAATAAAGTTTAATAATAATTTAAAAAAAAATTATTTAAAACAAATTTAATTTTTTTTTTAAAATTAATTTATTTATTTATTTTCAATTTTTTAAAAAAAATTATTATTAAAATTTATTTAAAAATTATTTAAAATGCCAACTCAGTCGCCACGTAAGCAGGTAACCTGTTAAAATTGATGGTAACCTGCTATCCGGTGAAATTGCATACATTTGGACTGTTCAGTGGCCTAATTGCACGTTTTTGGGTGTTTAGTGGTCTAATTGCATCTTTTTTTTTTGTTCAGTGGCCTAATTGCATTTTCATGTTACGTTCAGTGGTCAATTTGAACCATAACCAAAACGACGTCGTTTTGGCCAGGGCACACAATGCATTGTGCGCCCTGGTGCATGATATAATTTGCCTCTTTTAATTTGGTATACGAGGATTTTTTTTTCTTTTTAAAAAACTTTTTGTCTTATAACTATTGGACTATATTTCAACATTTAGTCTTTGAGTATTACTTTTTCACATTTTATCTCACAATTTTTAAAACATCATCATATTTGGTCATTCGACTTAATTTTTTGTCATTGGTAACCAAATTTATATTTTTTATTTTTGAACATGAGTATATAATAGTCAAGTAATTTATCTTGTAGGACAAACTTGAACAAGAGTCCAATTTTTGACGTGAACCAGAACGATGTTGATTGGCAATTAGGGAGGAGTTGATTCCCTCATTATAATTAATAGAAAATTAAAATCCATTAAATGAAAGATCAATTCCTCAAAATTAGTAAATCTTCGCCATCATATATTATATTATATTAACAAATGAAAATTCTAAACTTCTACGAGGCACCGTGACTCACGCTTTCCCACTTCTTAATGTGCGTATTCGCCTTCTGAGCCTGCATTTCAACGTATAAACAAAACAATACAATACAAAATAAGCAAAACTGTCAAAAATTTAAATTAAAAAAAAAAAAAAAAAAAAAAAAAAGCCATTGAAAGCATATCCAAAATCAAGGTTTCAATTACCTCTTTTTCCCAATCACATCTTATGGTGATTATACACAAAATTATAGTTTGCATTGCTGTTCCACCAAAGATCATCCCAGCCCATATCCCCTGCAGTATCCATCCGCATGTATTAAGTATTAATTAATAAACGTACAATTTCACTATCGGTTTAATATTTGCTAATAACTTATGTAGGTACCTTGACACCTTGGTGGAAAACCCATTCCATCATAATGCCAAGAGGGACTCCAACCAAATAGTAGCACCCAAGGTTTATGTATGCTACATATGCTTGCCACCCAGATCCAACAGCCACCCCTGCAATGTTTTTTAATGTCAGCATTTCCGAACAAGCCTCCGATCCTAGGAGTCAAATGAAATTATATATATACATACCTGATAGGATTGGTTGAATGCTGTTGAGAAGAACGGTGAATGCTAAGAGGAATGAGAGGTCATGAACGGCGTCAAGAACAATTTGACTAGAGGAGAAAATTAGGGCAAGCTGGTTGTCGAAGGTTAGGATTAGCAGCCAAAAGAAGAGACCAATTATCATGGAGTGTGACACTGATACAAATGCCGCGAACTTTGCTCCTTTTCCATTCCCTGCTCCTAACTCATTTGCTACCCTAACACTGTACGTATATATATATGCCATGCAAGTCAAAACAATAGTACCAAAATAATGTTGCGTTCCAATCGTAACAATATAACATGTTACTAATTAATGTTGTTGCTCCATTATTCATAAATATCCATGTGAATCATGCATGGGGAAGAAAGTATTCAATATCTCAATTCAATTCGGATTTGAATTCTAGTACCGTACCCTCCACCTAACAAGACAACCTGTCTAGGTCTTCAATTAATTACGACTTACCCAATCTCAAGTTTTCATTTCTTTTTATTGTGACAAAAAGTGAAAATATCCACTCCAGACGTTCACACCCCGAACCGACAGCTTGTAGAGCTAACTAGCATCTACCAGTCATCGTCTCATTAGTTTATCTCGTGACACATGCCTCTCTTGTATAGCTTATGGGATTATACATGAACTATCAAGGAATAGCTACGACTTTTCTCGTGAGACAAATACTAGGTGGTTTAGACTTAAAGAAAGAAATTAAAGTGGCATTAAAGGTAGGTTAATTAGCAGGTACATACCCAGTTCCAGCGAAGAAACCAAGAGGAATCATCAGTTCCCAGCCGTTAATGTTCATACTGCAAAGTGTAAAAACAAAACCATATATAGTTGGCAAATATCATCTTCATCATCATATGTTGATGGATCGGAATAATTAAATATGTGACAAGTCACAAGTTAGTTTCTTACCATATTGACAACGCATCAACGGCAATTTTAGCATTCTCTAAATTTCCTGTCATCACTATCAAAATTCTGTAGTACCAATTTTCCAAGCTGTATGTTATCCATTCCGTGTCAAAATAAGCCACAACACAAAAACAAAAAACAAACCAGTCAGATCCAAACTCAAATTGGCCGCTTAATGTTGACCACTTCTGCAATTATTAGAGTCTAACCTAAAATGTCCACTATTAATAATTAATAATAACAATAATAATCAAGGGAAAAAATTTCTTTTTTTCACCTCTATTAATTTCATTGTAATTGAATTATGGAACACCCCATAGTGGTAAAAATAGAAATTGAAGCGGGAGGGGAAAATAGTATACCATAGCATGACTCCGGATGAAACAGAGAGTTTAAAGAAGTCCCATAGGCCAGTGAAAGCTTCCATGGAGAAGCCCGGCCAGGTAAGGGGGCAGCCGCCGCAAACGGTGTAGCCAAGCAGCCCAAAGAAGATGACGAACCAGGAGAAGTTCAAGGTCAAGGCGGTGGCGATGATTCCGAGCTGGAACCGGTAAACAATGAGCCAGCTGAGGAGAATATGCACGATGAGAGCTACAAAATTCGCCCAAGCAATCACCGAGTTCTTAAGCTGGCTCTGCAGGAACCTCTGCAACGGGAACTGGAACGCGAAGCAGAAGTGCAGCGGCAAGAACGCCATGACCACCACCCCCGACAGCTCCGACACGTCCTCCGCCTGCCCCAGCGCCTTCAGCACCGGCGTCGCGAAGAAAAACAACGGCAGCATCACCACACAGCACAGAAACAGAACCACCCACGACCGCTGCAGATATATCCCCAACATGTCATACCTTTTCGCCCCGAACGCTTGCCCGCACAGCGTCTCCAGGGCGCTAGCCATGCCCAGCATCAACCCGAAGTCGAACCCCAGAATCACGTTGCTGGCGATCGACATCGCCGCCAGTTCCAGGTCTCCCAGGTGGCCGGCGAATGCTTGGGTGATCACGAACATGGAGTACGAAGCTATACGGCTGAAGATAGCCGGCCCCACGATCTGCCATAGCTTCTTTGATTCCACCCAAAACCTCCCCAAAAACTTCTTCTCCTCTTCTTCTTCTTCTTCAATGTTATTTTCGACGACCTGGGCCGATGAGTAGTCTAATAACGGCACCTTATTTTCGTCCATGCTGCCATTGCCAGACATTTTCTTAGCTCTTGATAGAGCCGGCAGGAGCAAATAAACAGAGAAGGAGAAAAGGAAGAGAAGAGCTACTGAAATTAAGGTTGGGAAATGTATGGTGAATGTTTTATAGACTACTGGATAGCCATAAATTAAGAGACAAAATATTAAATGGGACCTCGAAATAATTTCATATAAATATGGGAATACCAACAAAGTTTATTCGTAAATAAGATTAATCGGACATCTAAAAACGGAACTAACTTAAATCAAAGTGGGTCCAATACCAACATTTCTTAAAAAGACACTTTTTAGAGCGTCTGAAAAAATATAAATCATGGTAACTTACTCGATCCTGGTTATTCATTCCAATTTTTATCTCTATGACCAATTGAGCTGCCTATGCGGGTACATTTCTTAGAAACATTACCATAGTGGCATAGTGTAGTAAACTAATAATAACTCCCTTTCACAGGGTTATTTGTTTATATGATTTACTTAGTGCTGGTTTAGAAATTTAAAAAATGGCATGTGAAAATTATTTTTAACATTTTTTAGTATTTGGTTATTAATGAAAAATAAGTCAACGGAAAATATTCATTTTGATCAAATGAAAAATAGTTCATTTTCTAAAAATTACGTTTAAAAACATGTTTTGTATTTTCAAGCGGATCCTTGGTGCAATTTACCTCTCATGTGTAGTTTGTGGACTATTACAAGAGTAAGATTTATTTAATGCACACTCTCAAAATAGTGACTTCAGGTATCTCAAGTAACAAAAAAAAAAAAAAATTAAAAAAAAAAACAAAAATAAAAGCAAAAAAAAAAAAAAAAACAAAAGTAATATCATTAAAAGACAACTCCAATCAAATTGATCAATAATTGATTTAATAATTACAAATTTCTAAATTTGATATCCAGTTAGAATGACATATTGACTTTTTTGGTTTGAGTCGATCAGTTATAGACAACCTAAACTGATTTACCTCATTATATTTCTTTGCAGATTAATGTCACAATGTAAATTAATACATTTTAATACTAGTTTTCATTTAACTTTAATGGTTACATCCAATTTAATCCTTCATTTTTAATTTTCACATATCTCCCCATCCTTAATCTACGTTACTTACCCTCCCCAAACTATTTAGTATTTACAATCTTATACTCGTTAATTTAGTCATCACTTTATATATATATATATATATATATATATATATATATATATATATATATATATTAAAAATAAGAAACATGATGATGATATGGATCTGCACAAAAAACTCGAGATTTTGGAGAGTAGCATACTGGATTACTGAGACTGGATGTGACCCAACATTATGTGGCTTTTCTAGTTTCTTGTATTACTATAATATTGCCAATCAATAATGTTGATATATAAAAATACACGTCTCAAATTTGATGAATGGAACAGACATTCCTGCGTGCTGAGATTTCCAGTATGTATATATCATTACACATCTCGAGAGGGCACACCATATATACCGGCCTCAACAATAAATAAATAATGTTTCCCATCATATCATTCCATGTCACATTCTTGTTCAATTTACCTGGGTATTAATTTATCTTATTATATCATACTTCCATACTATTATAATTATAATTTATTAATTTATGCCTCCGGGCATAGCCCAGTGATGAAAATATGAGTGTGACTGTGTTAGCCAGCAAATACCTGAGTTCAAACCTTACAATGAATAAGATTATGAGAAATATAATAATAATAATAACATTTAGCTTTATTAAACAAAAATTTAGTCGAACCTTAAACTAGAACATGACATGTCAAGATTATGAAGATTGCAACAATTGACAGTCATGAGTTGCAATTAAAGAAGTTGAAATGTATACTCAAAATAAAATATAACCTAACGTAACAGACCGATGTGATAATTCGCCTAACATCTATATTCTTTCTTCCGTCTACTCACAATCTAACTTAAATTTATCTTTAATTTCGTGTTTGGATTACTATGTTTGATAATCCGGCCTATTATATTAAACTAGCGTAATTTGTCTATACTCCATTACTCTTTCACATATTTGATGATATGCCTTGTCCCACATGTTTAAGAATCTTGCCAACTTACCTATCTTAATTTGTCTTAAGTGTATGTATGTATACTATTCTTCATATTGTAAATTTTTAAAAGATAAATTGTGAACATTTTGTATGTAAATTGTGAACATTTTGAACCAATTCATAGAATAATTTGTAACTCAATTTACCCTCAGTTATTATTGTGTGGACCATATTATCAAATAATGTACATTCAATACTAAGGCCGGTCTTTATATTTTTGTGACCCTGTTCGAGTAAATAAATAAGGCCCTACCAAAATCAAAATCTTTAAAACTAATACCATAATTTTTTCTAATCTATACTATTCTAATCGGACATCAACTAAGGAAAATCAGATTTGGGGAGACCATTTATCTCTGATGTAGAAACGGTCCCCCATGTCTGTTTCTGCTCATACGAAAAATTTCAGTAGTGTTCTGCATTGATACGTATTTGATCGAATGAATATTTAACAAATTTTGAAAGGATTAAAGAAATAGCAACAATTTTATTATCTAAATATATAATAAAAAAAATTATCCATGCATTGCACGCGCACTACACGGATAACTGGACAATTATTTACTCGAATTCAAGTAAGGATAACATAAAAAAATATAATTGATACAACCCATTTCATCAATTGCACTATATAATATTCGTTGTTATTATTTATATTTGTATATTGATCAAAATATTCTTAAAGATTAGTTTGTATTTCTAAACTAACTAGGTAAAAATGAAATATTGGGCTTCTAAAATTTGAGGCTTCTCTAAAATTTGAGGCCTTGTGCGGTAGCCCAGCACAACCCAGGCCAAAATTCGAGTCTGTTCAATACACAAATAATATACTTTTAGGGTGTATTTGGTTGGTGGGTTTTGCCCATAGGAATGGGTATGAAAGTGATTGTTGTTGTTTGGTTGATAGGTTTTTAGAACACTACTATGGGTTTCCAATACCCCATCAATTGAAAAACTCATACCCAAATACAATAAGGGTTTCATTCCCTTATTTATTTTCAAGCACTACTATTAGTAACCATTCTCATTCCACCCCATTACCAAACATGTTAAATACTTTCACCAAAACCCATTACCATTACCAAGTATTTGATACTCATTCCGATTCCGATTCCCATGTGCGAACCAAACACACCCTTAGTATATTAAAAATGTATTTTTTGTTATGGTCCACACAATAATTTCTCATCTACCCTTTCAATATTTTTTGTTCAACTATCATCATCATCTTCCATTTCATCATTCTTATCCTCCGGTCCACTTGGCTTTGCCTACTCATACAACTAGTGTCCGTTTTGTCAAATTCACCCTCAGTATAAACATGAATTTTAGTAAGTAATACAATAAAACTATAAATTTGTTGTTTAGTTTAAACGAATTTATTACTAATTTTCTCCATTTAAATAACATTTATAATTTCTCAAACGTTACGTAACTATTATTGCTTCCCCTCTTTTACGATATGGTTGTTTACATTTGGCTTATTGTAAATTATTAAACATCAAAAAAGCAATAGCTCTACGTGAAAATTGAAGTATGACCTGTAACAAATGTGGCTTGAAAGTGACCTAATGAGCAATGCCAAAGAGAGTGATTTAACATTTCAAAAATAAAAACAATTATCGGACAAAAACTACAATTTCGTCTCAGTATTTTCTTCTCTCGTGAAATGGAAATTATTATAGTTTAAGGATGATGCAAGTTGAAATGCGAATAATTGAATAAAATAGGTTAATTGGCCATATGTGATTGTAGTGGTCTCCCCAAATTTTATACCAATAAGTGTTGTGTACAGCTTTCTTTGGCTCCAAGTCTACTTCAGGAATGGATGATGGATCATGTACGTAATCCATTACGTAAGGGATGTTGTCTATTCTTGACCATTCCGACAGACAAGTCTACGCCGTCTAAAAGACAATTAATCAATTATATATATATATTGTAGGATTTTACATGTGATTGAGATTTCGTATGCTAGATAGCTGATTCAACATTATGGCGACTGTCACTTCCTACGAAAGTGATATGTGTAATTTTGACCATTAAAATTTTTAGTTTGTCACATAGCTATATGCATGTGTAATTCACTTCCTAGTTCCTACTATGAATTGCATTAGTACAAAAATGAACAAAGAACACTGATTTTTAGCAATTATTCTAAAAAAAAAATGGTGTATTGTTTAAAAAAATTCGTGGTAGCATAATCATAAATATTTGAATAAGAATCTGCAACTGTTTCTAAAGAAAATGGTCATGGTCTGAAAGAAAAAAACACGATTATATTGATTTTCACGATTATTATTTGCTAAGTTATTTATAAAATATTGTTTTTTAAAACCACAAAAAAAAAAAAAAAAAAAAAAGGTATCCGTTACTGTTCCTAAGCTAGAACAATCGCGGATACCTATTTTTTTAAGGCGTATCCGCGATTGTTCCAGCTTAGGAACAGTAGTGGATACCCTTTAAAAAGTTCAACGACTGTTCTTAGATAAGAATAGTCATGGATGACTCAACTTTCCGTGGCTGTTTCACAACAGTCGCGGAAAGTCCAAGACTTTTCACGACCCTAGTACCAATAATATATTGTTACATAAGATGATAAGAAGGTAAAATTAGAAAATGAGTATAACATTAGATTAACAAGTAAAAGAAAATGTAATATTTCAAAAATTGAAAAATGTTAGGAATAAGGTTCAAATTGGCCACTGAACGTAACCTGAAAATGCAATTAGGCCACTAAACGAAAAAAAAAAGTGTAATTAGGCCACTGAACACTCCAAAAATGTACAATTTCACCTCATAGCAGGTTACCCTCAATTTTAGCAGGTTATCTGCTTACGTGGCAGCTGAGGTGGCATTTTTAATAAGTTTTAAATCATTTTTAATAAATTTTAATAATAAAATTTTATTTAAAAAATTTTAAAAAAATAAAAACGACTTTATTTTATTTTTTATTTAATTTTTTTTCAATTTTTTAATAAATTTTATTATTAAAATTAATTATTAAAAATTATTAAAAA